TACTCCCACTCAATTGATTGCTAAAAAGATCTATGCTCTCTAACTTACAGAGTTGCCCGATGCTATATAGAATACTCCCACTCAATTGATTGCTAGAAAGATATATGCTCTCTAACTTAGAAAGTTGCCCGATGCTATCTAGAATACTCCCACTCAATTGATTGCCAAAAAGATCTATGCTCTCTAACTTAGAAAGTTGCCCGATGCTATCTGGAATACTCCCACTCAATTGATTGTTAGAAAGATCTATACTCTCTAACTTAGAAAGTTGCCTGATGTTATCTGGAATATCCCTACTCAATTGATTGCTAGAAAGATAAAGAAATGTCAATGAAGTCATGGTTTGGAGAAAAATAGGTAATGGACCATAAAGAGAGTTCTGTGAAATATCAAAGTGTTGAATATTTCTAAACAATGTAAAATTAAGGAGATGGTTGTAATATGGAAGGTGAGAATTTTTTAGAGTATAATCTAATAGACTCAACCATGATAATGAAGAAAGCATGCCAAGTACCTGGAACAAGTTTGATGAGGCATGGCTTAGATTTACTCCACTCAGATCAAGTCGTTGCAAAGAGGAGAGACAAGAAATCCACTGAATGTCATCATCAACCTTCAATCTCTCATAATAATTCTGAGAAAGATCAAGAACATGAAGCTTGGTAAGATTTCCAAGTTCACCAAGAATTCTCCCTCTGAATTGTGCATAAGAGAGATTAAGGTATCTCAGCTGCTTCATCGAGCCAAAGGAGGGTGGAATAAGATTACCACTGAAATTATTGTTGCTCAAGTCTAGGTGTTCCAAGTATCTCAACTTAGATGAGTATTAATTTCAATTGATTTTTATATAGTTTATACAAATAATTTTTCTAATTTGTATGTTATGCGAATAGTGATTGCTTTTTTAAGAAGATAGCATACCTGATAAATCATTGATATAAAATTAATTGGTGTAAGTATTTCATAAATTCACATTAGTGTAAGTTAATCCCACTCCAAATATAATTAGTATTTAATATTCAATGGGTATATATACT